GGGACGTCTGCGTGGCGGTCTGTCAATGGATTCTGGGAGATCTCTCCTCGCGAGCGATGATTTTCTGTGAAAATTTCCACGATCGAAACTCGCAGGATGGGGGTGGGGGATAGACTGGAATCTGGAGAAATCGTGGAGAGAAGCGGGATTATAAATTGAAATTAATTTTAAAAGTTAAAAGTTGGACGGACGAATGGGGAGGATAGAGTGGAAAATGGTGTCGGGTAAGATACGTAAGGAAGGTTGTGCGAGTTGGAGATGTATGAGGCGTTGAAATTTGTTAGGAATTGTGGATAAAGGGCGAAGTTGGGAGAGAAGAATTTACAAATCGAACGAGGTATGGAAATAAGTTCATTGAAAATTAAACTACTCCCTCCTCCCTCCCCCCCCAAGGGGAAATAAAATGTTTCTCGAGTTGGAATGGAATCGAATTGTGCGAATTCGAGATCGTTGGAGACGTTTGAATTGAAAGTTTAGCTCGAATTTTTGATATGCGATGTGCACAAGGTTTTAACGATCTCGTGGAATTTTTTTTTTTTATGGATTCCATCTGTAAATAAGTTTTAAAAATTACTGTTGTTCGATCCGTTCATTATTTGTACGAGTTTTAAATCCTAATATCTTTAAATTCGTTATCAGGAATGTTTTTTAAATACTCGATTTAAATTGGAAGCAACCACACAGCGGATGAAAGAACGAGAGAAGAGCTTCTTTCCTATATCAACTTTTAATCCATATTGTAAATTATACGGAAATCTCGTTAATTTCCGCAAGTGTTTGGAAAACATCAAGAAAGTTTGTCCATTTCGCGGAATACCTCAAACCTGTTTTTCAAACTTGATTGAATTCAAGCACTTCTACAAATTCTTAAATTAAACTTAATATCTCACTTAATCGTTCGAGAAGAGATTATTTTAATGAGAGTCTATTATTTTCTTTTTTTTTTTCTTCCTTTTCATCGTGTAAGAAGACGTCAGTAGATAACACAAGAGGATCAAATTTTTGCCAATACTTCTTTCACGCTTTTTATTTATTAGTAATTCTTTAAATACAAAGTATTTGCAAAACAAAAAATCCTAATTAGATTCTAATTAAAAAGATGTTATAAAACCACACTTTTTTATCAAGAGGAGAATTTCAAGTTTTTCAATCAAAAGCGTTAACGATCTCGTGAAGGATAATCTTACTCCACCTTTCCACATTTCTCCCTAATTTCAATTGAACGTTTCCTGCGTGCAAGAAAGTGCTTAACAAGGTTACTTTGTCCAGAAGAATTTTTAAATATCTTTCAACAATTTTGTACCAATTTCCTTTTCCCATGAATCGTAACGAAGACACGACACGGAGATTCGCAGTGACCTGTGACCATTCGTTAGGAACTTTTTTCAATAGGATTATGCGAGAGATTAGGTGCGCCCGTTTTCGATAAAGAGGATTCGACAAAACGAGAAAGAAAGAGAGAGAGAAAGAAAAAAAATGAAAATTCGACATCCACGATGGAAGCCAGCTTATCTAAAATCGTTCTCCTCTGCTTCGTCGTGGACATTTTGTTCGCCATCCGCGCCCGTTTCGTCGTTTTAATTATTCCAAACGTCCGCTCACGCGCAACATGGAGCCGTAATCAAAAGTTCCATGCTCGCCGTTATCGTTTCCAACTTCTCTAATCCAATTTCACTCTTTATCCCTGATCTATGGCCATCCTTTCTGAATTTCTGGGATGCATCGATACTTTTTGAAAATTGTTTACCTTTGCAATTTATTTGGATAGGAATAATTCGACGAAAGTAAATAACAGGTATATAAATTAGAATCACAGTTCGTAGTCTCGAGAAAAGAGATTATGAAATAAAAATAATTCGTTCATATATGTATGAGCGAAAATAGACACGAGAAGAATTGACGCACAAAAATGTAGATAAGATTCATTTGTTAAGTTGCAAGCTTATTTAAATTCTTCAAAGAAATGGAAGAAGACGTCTCTATGATATTCGCTCTTTGTCTAGCCCGGAAAATCGGTCCAAACGGAAATGTTGAGTCGAAGATATTCGAGCGGAAAATAAATTATCGCATATCGACGGTCCCTCGAAAGAATTCCGTTCTCGCTCGCTTTTCTTGCGAGGCTAGCGTTCGTTGGCAGAATTTCTTGGTGATTTATGTTACATTAGGTCGTGAGGATCGAACGAAAGAAGTATTCAACGTGCATACACGGGACCACCACGTAGCTGGTAGCTCGTGAACCAAATTGAAATCGCACGAAAGAAAGTAAAGTAATATACCGTCCACCGTTAAAGATCCTTTCCTTCTGGTTTGCAACGCCATTTTCAAGAGCTATTTTTCGTGATTTTTACGCGATGTTTCAACGAAAACACGGATTAAAACGTCGATGTTCGATTAACCCCGAGGAACGTCCATGCCCCTCTCCTTCCCCCTTCACGATCTTTCCATCCCGCTCACCGATGGTAAACAGGAGGCTGGCTGCGGCTGGACTTGGAGCAATTAATCGTTCCACGACCGCCAAACAACCGACATCGTCGCTATCGATCTCGATCAGAGCTCGGCTATTTGGGATCTTCCGGAGAAAATCAACACCCCCGTTTTTTGCGAATCCTTGCTGGACGATCGGGTAAATGATGGCCAATAGTTAGCTTGTTTGGAAAGGAAGAGGAAACTGGAGGCCAATTTAATATCGATGGATCTGATCGATGAAATCTTTTAATCGTCGAGTCAAGTTTGGATAATAAGGGTAATAATCCGTGAGATCATCCAATTTGAAGAAGAATTCTTCTTCTTCGTTAGGGATATCAACTCCTCTTGACTCAACTTCTTTTTCTACGAAGAACTCTTATCCTTGAAACTCCAAACAATCACTCGAAATTCGATCGAGGAAACCATCGATCTCGGTACAATGATCAGTTTTCCAACAGCGTCTCGTTGAAAGATAAATTCGCATCGATCAAATTTCTGATCAATCTTGGCTCGGAAGCGAGTTGAGGAATAGGAAACGCAGTCGGAAATATCTTTTTTTAAAAGAATATTCACGGGTCCGGGCGATATATCCCTTCATTCTTATCTCGCAGGAGAAGAAGGCACAATACCTTTTCGACGTGGTATATACAAAGCTATATACATATACATATATATATATATATATATGTATAGAGAGAGAGAGACGGTCGAATCGCCGAAAGTATACAACCAGCTCGCGAAATTCCACAGGACTTTCATCGACATTACAATAACTGCAATATATCCGGCCGCGGGTCTGTTCCTTCGCGATACCAGGCGACGGGTCCGCNGTGGATGAAAAGGAAGGTTGTACGCGACGGGGGGGATGAGAAGACAGGAGTTGGTTGGGAGGAAAGGTTGGCTGCCAGTCGACGACGGTGCAACAATGGCGGAATATAAATCTAAATCCCGAGCGCCATCTTTCCTGTCCCGTTTCTCGCCAACCACCCCTCATCCTTCGATCCCTCGCTCCTTTCAATCCCTTCTATATTCTCCCTTCCCATTCTCTTCTTATTCGTCCCCTTTGTTGTCTATTTTCCCTATCTCTTGTGTTCCGCTCTACCACCACCATCGTAACCGCCCGTTTATTTCTCGCTTCCTTCTTGCCTCGCGCCTCTTCTGTACACCTCGTGTGTACAGAGGGACAGCTGGGACATTTTTCTCCCTACAACTTTTCCCCCCTATTCGATACAGACGCGTCTCGTCTCGTCTCGTCTCGTCTCGTTTCGTGTTTCTCGTTAAATCTTCC